TTCATCCAGATGAACGAGATGTACTTCGCTTCTTGTGGTGGCCTGATGGAAGAGTGGATGAAGATCCTAAGACCTACAGGATGTGTGTGCACCTGTTTGGGGGCACATGGAGCCCCAGCTGTTGCTCGTTTGCCATGCGGCAAACAGCAAAGGACTATGGAGATCAGTGCAATACACAAGCACCAAGAGTAGTAGAGATGAATTTCTACGTAGACGACTGCCTGGTCTCTGTTGAAGAGGAAGATGAAGCTATAAGACTGGCATCAGAATTGAGAACCTTGTTGCAGAAGGGTGGATTTCGACTCGCTAAGTGGATGAGTAGCAACACAAGAGTTCTGCAAACCATACCAGTACAAGATCGGGCCAAGCAAGTGGTTGGACTCGACCTGAACTTTGATGCCCTACCAATAGAGCGTGCACTTGGTATGATATGGGATGTAGAAAGAGATAGCTTTGTCTACAAGATACAGGTGAAGGACAAGCCTTTAACACGAAGAGGACTCTTAAGTGTTGTTTCTTCTGTCTACGACCCTTTGGGATATGCTAGCCCATTTGCACTGAGAGGGAAGTTGATTCTTCAGGAGTTGACCCGGAAGAAGCTGAACTGGGATGAGCCTATCCCTGACAGTGATGCAAAGAAATGGAAGGCTTGGATTGAGGAACTTCCACAGATGGAAGGAGTTGAAGTCAGTAGATGTGTCAAGCCTCACGACTTTGGCAGGGTAACTGATTACGAGATCCACAACTTCTCTGATGCATCTGAAGTAGCCTACGGGGCTGTATCATATCTAGTGATGAGGAATGAGGAAGGAGAGGTGCATAGCAGTATCATCATGGCCAAGTCACGCCTTGCTCCAGTAAAGACCGTTACCATACCTCGACTAGAATTGATGGCAGCTACACTTGCTGTGAATATGGATGTCGTGATAAGAGGAGAGCTAGACCTGCCTGTGAAGAAATCATACTTTTGGACTGACAGTATGATAGTGTTGCACTACATAAAGAATGAACATAGAAGGTTCCGTGTCTTTGTGTCAAACAGGGTGGCTATGATACACAATGCCACAGAGATAGACCAATGGAGACATGTTGGCACAACGGAGAATCCGGCGGACATCGTATCCAGAGGCATGTCACCGTCTAATCTGAAAGATGAGGAGAAGTGGTTTGTGGGACCAGCCTTTCTACAACAGCCGGAGGAGAGATGGCCCACATGTCCCATAGAGAAGGATGGGATCAGAGAGGACGATCCAGAGGTGAAGCCTGTAGTCCAGATCTTTGCTACAAGTGAGGGCAAGAAGTGCATCGACCAGCTCTTCATGCACTATTCTTCCTGGACGAGACTACGCAGAGCGGTAGCTTGGTGGCTGAGGTTAAAGGAAACCCTTAGAAGGAATGTAAAGAACTGTACTCCAGTTAAAGAATTGAGCAGACACTTGACAGTGGAGGACTTGAACTATGCTGAAAATGCCATCTTTCAGCATATTCAGACCGAGTCGTTCGATGAGGAGATGACAACCTTAAGGGAGAGAGTTAGAGATCCACATGGACGAGAGAGACCTGTGAAGAAGGGGTCGAGGCTTGCAAGGTTGGATCCTGTTTTGCAAGATGGTCTACTGAGGGTAGGAGGCAGGCTTGGACGAGCACATATCCCAGACACTGCAAAGCATCAGGTGATACTGCCTAGAAGGCATCATGTGTCAGCACTGTTGGTATGGCACATACACGAGAAGGTTGGACATCAAGGCCAAAATCATGTTTTGGCAGAACTCAAGCAGTACTACTGGATTCTGGGAGCTGGGGTCCTGGTGAGAGGCTTGTTAAGCAAGTGTGTAACTTGTCGTCGCTACCAGGCCAAGGTCGGCAAGCAGAAGATGGCTGATCTACCTGCCTTCCGAGTAGTAGCTGATGAGCCAGCATTTACACATGTGGGGATGGACTACTTTGGCCCTTACGAGATCAAGTGTGGGCGCTCTGTAAGAAAGAGATACGGTGTGGTATTCACGTGCATGACAACTAGAGCCATCCACATCGAGGTTGCCAACTCTCTAGATACCAGCTCATGCATTGATGCCATCAGACGCATGATGAGCAGGAGAGGACCAATAAAGAGGTTGGTCTCGGACAATGGCACCAATTTGGTAGGCACTAAAGCTGAGCTGAGGAAGGCACTGAGTGATTGGAACGTTGATGAAATCTCAAACTTCACGGCTAATCACAGTATAGATTGGAGTTTCAACCCGCCAGGGGCCTCACATCATGGCGGTGTGTGGGAGAGGCAGATAAGAACGATCAGGAAAGTACTGCATGCTCTTCTCAACGAGCAGTATTTAAGGACATGTCAGTCGGAGGAGCAGCTTCACACTCTGATGTGCGAGGTAGAGGCAATCATCAACAGCAGGCCTCTTACTCGTGTCTCTGATGATCCTGGAGATCTGGAAGTCATCACGCCCAGCAGTCTGCTACACATGAAGCAGACCTCAGCACCACCCCCGAGTAAGTCCACTGAGGGAGATGTCTTCGCCAGGAGACGTTGGAGGCAGATGCAGTACCTGGCTGATCTCTTTTGGAAGAGGTGGATTAGGGAGTATCTACCTAGTCTACAGCAACGTCAGCGGTGGCAGCAGCCTGAACGCAATCTTCAGGTTGGTGACGTGGTTCTCATCGCAGACGGAACTGTGCCGAGGTGTTGCTGGCTGATGGGACGCGTTTTAGAAGTGTACCCTGGTAAGCGGGGATATGTACGTAGCGTGAAGGTTAAGACTGCAACGTCAACACTCGTCAGACCCATCGCGAAGCTTTGTTTACTTCTCGAGCAAGAGGAATCGCGATAGACGACTTCGAGAAGTTAGCCATTTTATTTGTTGTTTTTAGAGCTGATACAAAATAATTCCAGTTCAATTCAAGATAGGGATTACTTTAAGTAGCGTTGAGCAAGAAACATTCAACTTCTGTGGACACAGCATCTAGTTTCGCATAAATGGATTCGGTTTAGATTCGCTTCAACAAGAAGAGACTTTACTACAGTGATATTATACAGATACTTTGTGTTTCGTAGTGACTTGCTGAAATGTTTAATTGAATTGAAGCATAACTCATTTCTAGTTAGAATTCAGTTTCTTAAGATAGTATTCTGATGGTAATACAATAGTTTGTAATTAGAAGATAAGGAAAGAAATACAGGTAGTATGTCCTTATTGTCATATTATTAGTGTTCTGCTATTCGGTAAGGACATATGTTTCCATAGCAACCACCTTTTTTGGATTTAAAGGGACTGTATTTATTCAGTTAGGAAGTATGTTTCCATAGCAACCACCTTTTTTGGATTTAAAGGGACTGTATTTATCGAAGTCTTGAGATTTCAAGAGAGTGACAGTTTTGTTATAGATGTTGGCAGTGAAAGGTTTGGTAAATTCAAAGTATTCGGTTAATTTAAGGGGCCGGGATGTTGATACGAGTTTTTCCCAATTTGACATTGTGACGTCAGAAGCGGGGTTTTTAGGTGGATTTTGCATTCAGGTCGTAGAGGGCGGGATTTGATTCTGTGGAGCTACTGATTTACGTTACACTGAATGTTTATTACACTGAACAGTCTACTGTTAATTTTGTTTTCCTGAGACAGCCCAATGTTGTAAGTAGAAAATCACTGCATATTATGATAGCTCAATATTTACTCTTTTGCCTCATGTTAATGGTGATTATAATGGTGGATTGATGTGATGTATGAAATAAGATTAGAATCATAGAACATCCATACGTTTTGAATGTAAATGTACCACATATAAGTTTTGGTGTAAGTAGCGTATACGATAATTCATGCTGGAAAAGTACGAAATATCCAAGTAAGGTTATGATATTATGAATGAGCAAGAAGCTCTATTAATGTATGAGAGAATACGATTATGACTTAATTATGAACAGAAGATGATGGTCTAAATTTAGTTAGCTAGGGAAAGTAGCATTTGAGGTAAAAGGGAAATTTTAGCAGAAAATGACAGAAAGTAGGTCGGGTCAATTTGCATGACAAGGGTAGGCATACAGAATATGGAGTGAATATTTTTGATACAGGCATCAAGGATAACAATGTCATTTATAGTTATTATTCCGTGCTATGCATTTGGAAGACAGTTTGTTGCATCAAACTTGATTGTTTTAATTGCGTGATGCATATGTATATCAGCCATGCTGATAATTTGTTTTATCTGTTCTATCTTTTATTAAAGGTTGAACCACTCATTGGTATCATCGCAAGGGCATTGTTGTCGAGTCGTCATTGCAGTTGGGCTTAAGTAATACTCATAACGTCACCGTTCCTACAATGAGCATGATGACTAACTAGCCTTAATTACTTTCTTGTTCCAACACAATAGCAAAGGCTGTGAGTGGGAAAGAGGGACAGAATGAGAGATGGTGAGAGGGGGACTACAGAAAGGGGAAGACAGTGAAACCTGTATACAAAGACCACTCAAGGGAAACGGAAAATGTGGTCTTATACCGGTAGATAGATGGTCTTTCTATAGAGGTGGTTGCTAAAGCAAGTTTGACTGTATCAGGAAGTGATTGAAAAACATGGATTCTGAAACAAAATTTTCTAGAGGTTTGTCTTTACCTCCCAGTTTTAAAAGATGCCAGAAGATCAATATCAGACAGGCATGACTATATGGTCTAGACCTTCAGAGTTGATCTGTCTTTCTGGTTATAAGTTCATACAGTATGTGTTGTTATGTATCTGCCAACAGATGGCAGCAAACAGATATACATAGTGGTGTATCAAGTGAATGTAACACGTCTTGATAGAATAAGTGCATGAACACAATTATCTGCTTCAAGCTACTTGAAAAACGATATTGATCAGATTCTCCTTTTTTTTATATAACAATATTATATACACAAAGAAAAAAAAGAGGAGGCGCGATGGCTCAGAGGTAGAGCAATGGTCTCGTACCAGGAAAGTCTCGGGTTCAAAACCAAGTGAATGCGCTTGTGACCTTTGGTAAGGCATTAATCCTCATTACCAAGTCCCTCAAACAGGACTTAAAGCCGTCAGTCCCCTGGTTGCTTACTTACGAGCATATACATGCTCCCTTTATAGCAGTCGGGTAAAATAATTTTCGATCATCAAAAGAAAAAGTCTGTACATGGATGATTATGAAAAGTATGGGCGATGCATGCAAACTTAACTACAAGTCATCCAAAAACATTAGAAAACAAAAGAAAACTGAAAGAATCATAGTACCAATTTAAAATCTGGGGCCACATTCACGAAACAGTCACAACTCATGTTTTTTTCTTCTTCCATACATCCCATCCCCAAACTTAAACTTGTAATGGTATCTGTGGAACAGACCCCAGTGCCGTGCTGTATAAATTACAGGACTTACCTCATAGTCTGTTTCCCGTTCGTTGAGTGCTACGTTAATGGTGTAGGTAGAAGAGTCGTGATGAGGTCGTAACGAGGCCTGCTCATCCGGTTTGTATCGTACCACAAAATTCATTATCGCATATGCCTGTAGTGTATGATTGGGAGAGAGAAATTAATGAGATGAACATGAGTACATCTCTAATATCTTCCCTATATAATATGCAAACATACAAAATATGCAAAATATGCAAAATCCCCTCTAGTTTCATCTCAAGTCAGCTGGAACAGTATGATCCGTACTCTTTGCAAGATAACCATGAGATGGCAATGTACATTATGCTAGGGTAAAAAGTTGATCGGTCCAATATCAGTTGAATTGTCAATAAAATTGTGCCGCGTCTTATAAAACAAACATCAAAATTATTGTGTAAAGGTGACCTTTAGTTCTCGCAATGATGGAGAAAAGAGATGCCTCAGAACAAAACATAATTTTCACTAAATGTTAAACATTATAAAGAAACAATGTCCCCTAATTAATTATTGTAGAGATTATATAATAGCTGAGCAATAGGCAAAATTATTTAAAAATAATAATAATATTGTGGGTTCCCATAGCGATTAATACATCAACATACTTGCCAACATTTGAAATTCAGAAAAACGGAACGCACATCCCAAATCATGTACTGTACACTGCGACTGCACTGTGCACTGCACATGAGCGATTGTGCTAGCACGATGCGTGCACGCTGTGCGATGCGTGCACGCTGTGCGATGCCTGTGACTGAGGGATTGTGCATGGCACTCTATGGGCACTCTACGCACACTTGGGCTCATTATTACACGCGGCAAATAGAAATCAGCGTGGCGCGCAACAAGCACGCTTCACGCATCTTGCGCAATACAATCCTTCCAGCACTCATCTGATCGAAACTATGGAAAGCCAACTGGTATTTATACTACATGTATAATTCCCCCAAATCGGAACATTGCTTTTGGTTTACAATGACAATGAAAATATCTTACTTTTGAATAATAGCCTGGATAAACGTTTTCGCAGATCGGTACCACATATTCTCTGAGGAAATACAACCAATGCTGCTCAAAACCAATCTGATTCATGTGGATATCACGCGTAGGCACGTTCTCGTATCCACCGTTTAATCTTTTATCCTGGGGGTAAAAAAGAAAAATAAGCAAATGATTAAAGTTAACTTAAAGCCTGTCTGTACTAGTTTGGCCAAGGGGATTAGACCCCCTGCAAGGTCACTGACAGGTGGTTATCTCATCAAGTCAGCTCTCAAATAACATAAGAAAAAGAGAATCATGGGGGACCAAGCGGCACCGATTAGGCATTGTTTGCTATATAGAGGGCGCAAGTAGCTATAAGTAGTGCAGAGGGGCTTTAAATCTCTACCTTTGAGAAGCCATTTACTACTGAATGGTCATATTTCGCAATTCAGGAGCAACCCAGTTCTAATAGGCAATGGGTTTAATATACACATGGCAATGATAAAGTCAGAATTTGGCTGGTTAAACTATAATAAAAATGGGTTAAAATCTCATGTTCTACTTTTACAGTGTAACCTGTCTATAAGGCTACTGTATTTCAAGGGAGACTTATCTTGATATGTCCTCACATACTAGACAGAACGTGAAATATTAAAAATATTGGACCAAAACTTGATGCCAATTCCAACATGTATATTCTCATATCCGTGTGCGCTGCCGTTCACTGGATGTGATGTTCAGCAATGTTCATTTTGATGATTCCTGAACCTTAAAATACATCACTACGTAACCTAATGAACCTTTCCTAATGACTTCAAGATTTCTTTCACACTACATATCACTCTCACTTATCCTGAACTTTGAATTTGCCTTTAACCCTAAAAAAGGCCAACGTTTTAGTGTTAAAACCTCAGTCTCAACAACCAAACCACCAAAAGACCCACAGCAGAATAAACAAGAGATTACAATAACCTGAATGGCCGAGAATTGATTGCATGGAAGTCTGTTTGCAGGTGCGACTGCGGTATGAGCACTCCTTATTTTACACAGAAATGACAACTTTTAAGTTTAATCTAAAAACGAGAACTATTTACCTGATTTCCACCGCCTGACCACTCCCCAAAATGCTCCATTTCTTCTATCAGCTCTTTGGCCCATGTTCTTGACATGAGGGGGAAAGTATACACATCGGTGCATGGCTAGATTAAAAAGGAGAACAAAACAAACAAACAAGATGAGATATTAAAACATTCTGCTGATAAAGGGAGATACATGTATGTGTTGATGAATCAAGAAATTGCAGATTTTGAAAGTGGTTAAAATGGCCAAACTTTCATGCCCCCTCCAAAAAAAAGGTAACTGCCTGCAAAAGGTTCAATACACTGTGTACAAAGTACATTGTGGGTTGCATTATAGATATCTGAATCATTCCCTTAACTTTTAGTTGATAAATTAAGAATCTATAATATCTCATGATATATTGAAAGAGACATTGCACCTGACCAACTTTAAAATGGCATTTTGATAGCTGTGGTCTACGCCCCCCCCCCTTTTATCGCTTCTTTCATCTCACAAAAATGACAAGTTGATTAATTGGTTAAAAAGGCCATGCTGCATCTACCAGTAGTTGCAATGATGTAGCAATGAAGTTCTTTGAAAAAGGACTTTTTTTGGGGGGGGGGGTAATATTGTGCTGTCAAGTTATTGCCTCACATCACTGTGTTTTAATAGAAAAGTCAAGTTGTGTTATGGGAAGGAAATCCACACAAAAGAAAAAAAAGAAGAAACAAAACCTACCATAGTAATGTTATTCCTGTCCATCTCCTTGACTACAAAATAATCAGGAGATAAATATTTGGCTTCCCAATCCTGTCAAAATGAAAAAGATAAAAAAGATAAAAGAAATGATCGGTACTACATTATCGAAGAATAGCAACGAACATATACGTACTAAAGCTTTTCTTTTACACTCTTCAGAAAGCTGAAATCGGACAATATAAGTGGACACTGAAGGAACAAAGATTAAACAAAATACACAGCATGAAAGTATTTTCCTTGTCATCAAAACAAGGAAAGAACTAGATGGACCTTTGACTGCGTGCAGTCGAAAATGATGTCTTTGTCACAGAGCCATTTTTCAAACCAAAAAAGAAGACGTTTTAAAACTCAAGTTTGGTTTTAATCCAAACAGGTTCACAGAAATCGTGATTACAAGCCATTTTGACCATATGTAAAAATAAATGAGTTTCAATAGTCAGAATGTGAATTCCATACATTAATTGTTGCTAGGTAAGACAAACATTGTGGCTTGTCCTACCCAACAACACAGAATGTATGCAATTTGCATTCTGACTATTTAACTGCTATTATTCGTAACAGGTGAATGAAATAATTTATAACGAGGCACTTAACAAAGATTTGCGCATTACATTTTATTACATTACGGAAATAGCTTATTTTTTTAGACCAAATAAAGGTTAGCACAGTTTATTACCTCCTTGTTGTTCCACAGCTCCCACATGTCGTTATGTAGGTGAGTTGTCTCGTAGTTGTCCAAGGTAACGATATGACCATAACTGTCCTCCATGTTTACCACATACAAGAAGATTCCCTGTAAAGTGTGGAAACATGAATAAGTTTCATCATGGAGGCTGTTCACACCGGCAGAGATAGCGCGCGCTAGACCGCGCTATCTCTGCGATGTGGAAGGTACACCTCGTTTCGGTCCGCCCAACAGCAAGCCACGGCGAGCCAAAACGGTGAGCCACTGGAGCACCTCTTGGGGGTGGTCCATGAGAGAGAGTGCGGTCTAGCACGTGCTAGAAAAAAGGGGGTGCTACGATAGACCGCGCTATCTCATTGCGGTGTGAACAGCCTCATGGACTACTTCGAAGGACAGACAGATATATCTACAGAATGGTCGGTAAATAAAAACAATTATAAAATGGCTCTAGTATTTTAAGCATCGTGATTGGTCAATACGCGTCACATGACATGCACAAATTTTTGATGCATGCACGATTTTGCCCCCAAAAAGCGCAAAAAAAGTTATATTGCACGTTACCATGGATATCCAGCACGTATGTGTAGTACGCTCCTTCGAGTGCATTGTAGGCTATGCATAGCTAATATTGTACGCTCCAGATCCACCACGATCCCCAGCGCAGCGTATATACGCGTAGCTCAGCTATAGCGAGCTAGCGTGTAGTGGGGTATTATTAGAAAGCAAATTTTTATTTTACTTTTAGGCCTGTTTTGACTTTTGGATTTTATAATGAAGCTAGGAATTTCAGCTGTCTGATGTAGACTCGTCTCTAGACCCCCTATGGATTTTATTTTTAATCAAGACAATAAATCCCGTGGACTTTTTGGTAAGCGTGCTAGCTCTAGTCTAGAACCAACATTAAACATAACTCTAGATCGAACTCTCGTAGACTCTAACTTAAGATCTAAACTTTTGATTTGTGTCGCTATTTTATAAAACAAATAATGCACTTGACCCTGTTGTGCGAAACGTAAATGCAGTGTTCGCTCGGTTTCTTCAGATGGTGCTCACTGTGAACTCGCCACAAAGCGGCTTGTTGCACAGAGCGGCACCAGTCTAAAGAAACCTCGCGTGTAGGGCATTTACCGATATTGCACGCTGGGACGTGCGTTATTTGTATATCATTATCTACTTTTTAGGTTGAGGCAGGCATTTTCATCCACAAAAGGGTCAGCATATGAAAGTAAATGCTGATTTCATACCTGACTGTAGTCATAATAGCAAAGAGTGATTTACAGTAAAGTAAATAAGTTCAATGATTTGGGATAAAAATGATGGAACGCCGGGAGGATTACAGCACAGCAGAACTGAGTGCTTTACATGAAACCATCATTATCATAATCATTATCACTATCAGTTTGTTTATTAGACTTAATATCAATTCATCTATTTGATAAAATTGATATGATATGATATTGGTCAAATTAAATATGTTACATTTGTTTATCAATACAAAGTATACCAAAATTAATTAATCCTGACCCACAAGAACTACAAAACAATTGTCTTTTTAACCTCTAATATAAGCTTTACATTCCTTTAATTGGCAACATATTTGATAGATTCAAATTCATTGTTTTTCAATCAAAATTCAATCAAAATCTTCACGTTTTGACAACATTCTTTCCCACTTATATTGTTTTCAGAGACATTACATTTGATTTCAACAAGGTAGCAATAAAAAAAAATACCACGGTTGCCAATTTGAAAGACAATATCATAATAATAATAATAATAATAATAATATTCCGTTTTTACATATAGCGCTCAATACATTGATCCAATGATGTGATCAATGTGATCAATCTAGAACTAAATATGAATCCTGTCCTGTAAAGGCTTAAAACCGTTCTGGATCTCGAATTACTTACCTTGCTTCTCAGATCCATACATATGGCCATGTCTGTGTCTAGATCCTCGATCTCAAAATTAGGTTTATAGGTCTTCACCATTTCTCCTTTCGCCAAGTAAACATTGTTGATGTATGGGACATTCCAGACTCCCCTGGAAACAAAGCAAAATGCAGAGTGGGTCAAAGAAAGAAAGAGGTACAAACGGTTAGCAGGAGACCCCACTTTTGCTCCAGGAACATTTGCTCACTGTTTTATTTCAGTACAGTATATAAAATAAAATGTCTCCCAATAGACGATAGCATGCAATGTGTCTTGTAGAACATTTAAAATTAAAAATTTAATATTTATTCATTTCACTTGACAAAAGAGAATCAACATGTACAACATTCAAATATACAGTGAAATCAAACAAGATGAGACAAAACAAAACCATATAAAACAAAGCATTTACAATATATGAATAATATAAATACAGAGTAGAAAAAAAATACAAGATAGAGAACAGGGCAAATGAAGACCAGCATTAAAGATTAAAAATCTTAATCATGCCGACTCTAGCAGAAAGGAAAAGAAGCAGAGGGGGATAATATAATTTGAGATAGGTTGTTGCATTTTTCAAGAAAAAAATTGGCAAATAGTAGAAGGACTAGAGCCTAGAGACATATGATCATTACCCCTTTATTTCAATCTAAACATGAAAATCTCTTGATATAACGATTGGCTAACAGTTCTTCATGGTTTCACTAAGCATCTTCAAATGGTCAAATCAAGATCATTTTTTCTTTCTTATCATTTTTGAAAGAAATATGTGGAAAGAGACATTTGCCATAAGGGACACGTTGCACGGAATCGCCCTCGTTCAAAGTAAAACTCAATATAGTTTTCGCTCAGTTCCTTTTCCACAGAATTTATCTTACAATCTCGCTACTTTCAAGTGACTCGGTAAAATTGCCTTAGATTCTGAAACAAAACCTGGATTCAGCTCATGCTGCAATCATTATTATAAACCTTTAGGTCAGTCAGGAATCCCATGACTTTTATAAGCCAATCGCCTGTCTGATTATCAAGATATTTATGATTGGAACAGATTGGAACAGTTTCCGAACAGTCTTTTATTACACTACAGTCTATCAGGGAAAATGAGAATGGTTAAATCGGTCGCTCCAAGATTTTTATTTTTTTGAGGCACTTCTTGATCATTTTGAAGCGCAATTTGTTTAGGGCTTCAATATTACACCATACCATAAACTCTGATAACACGTAGGGCCATGCATCTCAGAGTTATCATTGTTTAACGATGCCTTTAAGAAGACATTTGAGGAGAATATTTCCTTGAGGCTCACCTTCTGTTTCTCCTGACCAGGTCTACGTAGTCTTCAGAGCGAGCGTAGTAGCCCTGGCTGTTCAGGTCACCCCAGAAGTTTGACCATAGCTTACCCTGCTTGGAGACCACCGGTGCTACGATTTGCCTGTTCCAAAATAAGTTATGTCAACAATCATTTCTCAGCTCACCTGAAGATCATCCCGACCCCCCCCCCCACTCAGTGTTATTTAGGGTACGCATAGGCGTGTTTCCTCTTTTTGAAAACACCCCCTAAGTCCGGTGTGTAAAGTCAATTTTGTGTATGTCAAACCGGACTTTGGTGCGTGAAAAGTACCCCTTTACCAGACATTTTGGTAACAATTAAACACGCATGCGGTCATTCCAACCCCAGAGTGGGGGGGGGGGGGGCTGGGAAGATCATTAGCCTGGTAGAAATGACCTGATAAAGGTCACGATACCATCATAAGTAAAAGTTTGTGACATCCCATAGAAATACTTGTTCATTAAAATGCATGCAATCCATGGGATATCAGCGAGACTGCACTACATGCGCTCTCTCTATAGCAAACAATACCTAAGCGGTACCCATCGTTCCCTTATGGTCCCCTTTTGCTTACATGTATGTTAATTGAGAGCTGATTTGATGAGATAACCACCTGCCAGTGCTACACAGGGCTCAGGTCTAATCCCTCCTGGCCAAACTAGTGCAGATAGCCATAGGCTTTAAGATGGTTTCAGGAAACACTGTCCAATTTTCATTATGTATACAATCAATAAAATTGACTGTTTTCATTCAGTGGTCACTTCCTAAATCTACAATGAGAATTCATACATATTCCAACGCAACTCAAAACCAAGTATATATGCAGCCCTTTTAGGTATTCAGAAAGATGAATTTAAGTGACTGCCTTTAGAAACAGGATGTTTATTTCAAAGAAATGAGCAAAAAAAAATGTGCACAGAATGCATAGTTTCAAAACAGCACGACCCATAAACCTCTTCCAGTTCAACCAAAAAAAGTAATATATGATGTAAATACTTGGCAGTTGAAAAAACTACTGTCAAGCACTGTACAGATAGGACTATACATGTAGGTACTATTTATAACATAGAAATGTATTTTTGAGCAGAATTATTGTAATCTTTTATAATAAAAATTGAGTTCTCTTAAAGGGGGTGTAGCATGGAAAATACTGGTTAACGCCATCTACTACTTCTTTCGGACAACTTCACGTAAACGAATCGACTTGATGAGGAACTGTATATTTTGTCTGCTTTCTTTGTCCGTTATGTTCATAGTGATTAATACCCGATAGGCCCCAGAGTCAGGCCACAGGAAAGACACGTAGTCTCGTCATGCTACACCCCTTTTAATCTATAACAATAAAAAAGCTGAGAATGAATGAACGAACGAATGTTTAGAATGTAAACCTACTTGTTGGTTTCCATGAGGAGTCTAAGGACATCAGGATTGGTGAGCTGTACATCTGAATCCACAGAGAAATAATAATCACATTCCATGCTCATACAATGATCCCTAGAACAACCAAAGATATGGAAAGGATTATTAGTTAAAGTGACTCGGTAACATTGCCTCAGATTCTGAAACAAAATCCTGGACTTACATGTGTAACTCATGCTGCAATCATAATTATATACCTTTAGGTCAGTCAGGAATCCCATGACTTTTTCAAGCCGATCGCCTGCCTAGTTATCTAGATATTTATGATTGGAAATCAAAATCAAATTTTGAGTTTTCCTAACGGTTTTTATAACACTACAGGCTATTGGCGAAAATGATTATGGTAAAACCGGTCACTCAAAGATTTTTACTTTTTTGAGGCACTTCATGATCATTTTGAAGCGCAATTGTTTTAGGGCTTCAATATTACACCATATCACAGACACTGATAACACGTAGGGCCATGCATCTCAGATTTAACATTGTTAAACGATCCCTTTAAAACAATCATTGCAAAAGTATGATTTTCAAGGTTTTATCATTGGCTTATGAAGATACAGTCAAACCTGTCTACATTGGCCATGCACTTGGTCTTCCTGAAGAGAGAAATTGTCTAGAACCTGTCTAGGAAGGCTACTTGTCTGCAGGGGCCACTTTTCTGTTTCTATTGGATGGCCATTATAATAAGACAACTTCAACTGTAAAGTCACAAAGTGGCTGAATTATTAATCACTTTTTTCTGTGTGTATAAATTTTTTTTGGGTCAAATTATACCCTCAAATTTGACAATTACCCCCACAACAGTTGGTCCTCAAAAAAGAAAATTGCCCCGTAGGAAGACAACTGCTCCTACTACAAATGCTTCGCAAACAATATTTTTTTCATGGTGTTTTTTCTTTGTTTCTTTTTAGTTTGTTTCGTTTTCTGAATATCGTAGCAAAATTGATGTCAGCGGAGCAATTGTCGTCGGAGCAACTGTCGACGGGGTAACTGTCGGCGGAGCATTTGACGTTGAGGCAAATGTCGCAGGGCAGTTTTGGAGAGCATTTGTCGCCAGAGTAATCGTTGCCAGAGCATATGTCGGGTTACCCGTTAAGTTATGGTAATCTAAAGATTACTGAGAATTACTCACACTCCACGGTTCCTTCCCTTAGCATCACCTAACATCTCTGCAGGAAGGATGATCTTAATGCTGTTGTACAGAGGACCCTTTTCTTCTCTGAACTTTTCAAGCATGTGATAATGGAACATTGCCTGTGGGTGAAGAAAATCATATTACAAGACGGGTTCTAGATTTAAGCAATTGGAATGGTCAATTGACATCACATGGGCATGTATTAGTTCTTCCCATCGTGCAAAACATCTCCCATCAAAAATTAATAACACACGCTCGATACCTGCCGATATCGCTTTCACGCAATTCAGCCAAATTTAATTTGTGCATAATTTTCAATATCTAGATCTAGAATATTCTAGACCTAGATCTAGTTAGATCTAACTTAGATCTAGATCTAATCTATCTATTCTCTAAATCTAGACTATATTGCAAGAAAGTATTGCCGACCCGTCTTATAAAACAAATAATGCATAACAAATAATGGATAATAAATATGGAATGATTGGTTCTATTGGTTTAAATTGTTTCATTACATTAATAGCAGAAAGAATATTGCTCAGGAAGAGGGGAGAGATAGAAAGAGAAAGATGGATAAGAGTAGGAGGTGGATGAAAGAGATGGGAAAAGAAAAAGGAGGCAGAGAATGGGAGAGAATAAAGGGAAAGATGGTGAGAGAAAGAGGAGAGAGATAGAGAGAAACAAAAAGACGGGAGAGAGAGAAAATGAGCGAGAGAGTGAGACATAAAGACAGATAGAGAGAGAGAGAGAGAGAGAGTGCGAGGAAATAGCTAGATGAAAATGAAAAAGAGTGATGGAAAGAGAGGAGGGAATGAGAAAGAAAGAGAAAGAGAAAGAGAAAGAAAGAGAAAGAGAAAGAGAAAGAGAAAGAGAAAGAGAAAGATGGATAAGAGCAGGAGGTGGATGAAAGAGATGAGATGTTTTAAAATTTGAATATGTTAGTAAACCGGTCTTCTGACTTGACATTAATGCTTACCCTGTTATGAATAAAGATGTCTATTTTGTTCTTGGGGTAGTTGAGTTTGGTAAGGAGGTCCAGGAATTCTGCAAAGAACGGGGTGGGGACACCAACGAAGATGGCTATCACTACAGAAGGATAATCCTCAACCTGTTACGAGAGATATTAAAACAAACATTTGTCAATAGATGATTATTGTAATGTACCGGTAATCAAATTTAATGCATAAATCTTTGTTAAATGCCATGTTACAAATTATTTCAATCACCTGTTAAGAATAATTGTATTTCAATGGTCAGAATGCAAATTGTATACATTAATTGTTGCTAGGTAGGACAAAAATTATGGTTTGTCCCACCTAATAACACAGAATGTATGCAATTCACATCATGACTATTGAATTACAGTAGTGAAAAAGGGTTAGTTTTTTTTTTTTTTTTTAAACTTATGATTCCACAGTAAACATGAACAAAATATATAGGTGTGCTACCATTCAGGCCTAAGGCTTGATTTGCCAGCAGACCTCCGTTATAACTATCAGTACAAAATAAGAAGGGAGAGAGAGTAAATTGCCTTGCAAAGAATGAAAGAGCAAAGGAGGGAAAGAGCAAAGAAGGGAAAGAGGGAAAGAGGGATAGAAGGAGAGAGGGAGAGAGGGAGAGAGGGAGAGAGAGAGAGAGAGAGAGATGAGGGGAAAGAAGGAGAAAATATCCTTACTGGTAATCCTTGGAGGTCAAAGGTATCTAGGTCACAGTTCTGACATCCCCCATCAAAGGTCCACTTATTGGGTAAGTAGTTGCCAAGATGATTTAAGTACACCTACAAAACGAAAGAAGGTGAATACAGAGACATTAAGTGCATAAGAATGTATATGGTATTGTACGTTGTCTAAATATCAACATGTTTTACTATTGAATTCACCATTCCGATGATACATGAGCTATCTGAATACCGTAGGCAATGGGTTTAATAAGACTGCTAGGAATAACACAAGCATATTAAGGCCTGGTCCCGTTGCATAAAACTTACCATGGATGATAACTTTGCCATCAATGGCAACTACCATGGTAACAGGGCTCAACAGCCAATCAAAATCAAGGTTTCCATGGTAGTTACCATTGATGGCAAAGTTACCATCAATGATAAATTTTACGCAATGGGACCCTGGTGTGGATGCCTTGGCAGTGTCTTCCATTCCAGGCCTTCGGAAACAACTTCACAGCTCCAAGACCCCCCAAGCATCGGGGGAGTACATGAAACCTGAACAATAGTTTAGTAAAATAATGAATTAGTTGACACTGCTGTACATTCTCCACGGAAGCCAGAAGAAAGCTTGTCTTATCCAGTATCGTATCTGCGCATGTCCTGACCTGTTCAGTGTGAGAGGAAGGTCGCCCTCTACTGTTGAACGTTGTATTTGCGGTAAGGTCACTTGAGGTCACACCTGAACAAGGCTAGACAGGGTTATATGTATTATTAAAGGCATCGTTTAACAATGTTTAATCTGAGATGCACTGCCCTACGTGTTATCAGAGTCTGTGATATGGTGTAATTGAACCCCTAAAAAATTGCGCTTCAAAATGATCATAAGTGCCTCAAAAAAGTAAAAATCTTTGAGTGACCGGTTTTACCATACTCATTTTCCCCAATAGACTGTAGTGTTATAAAAACTGAAACTTCGATTTTTAATTATAAATATCTTGATAATTCCTGACTGAACTAAAGGTTTATAATTATGATTGCAGCATGAGCTAAATCCAGGATTTGTTTCAGAATCTGAGGCAATGTAACCGAGCCACTTTAAGTCATTTGCTTTTCTTACCTTGGTAGGTCCATTGCCATGAAGAACACAGGGTACTGTGTTATACTTTGTGTTGTGAAGAAGATTGTTTCCCCCTTCAAACCTCAGCGTTATATCAGCTGGATTAAAAAAAGAAGAAAGGATATGGGTGTATACATACATACCTACAAAGATGCATGGAAGTACACATATTCATGTATCAAATGGTGAAGATGTTCTTAAATTAACCTTTTGTTTGTGTGTGTTCCCAGCACAAGGTTAAATTTTCTTTTATTTTGGCCTCCTATTAAAAAAATATGTTCTGTTCTCATAACAATGGTAGACCATTCATCAGAAGGAAACAAATTTAGTTCATGTAGATCCCATATATCACTGTAAGACAAGAAATGCAAACAGCACTGTCAAATATTTAAAAATAAATAAACTGCAAGATGAAAAAAAGCGAATAAGTTTAAAATAAACAACCATCCCCTCCACCATTGTCTAGGTTTAGGGTGGTCTGGGCCCTCTTGCATAAAAGTCAAGTCGCAATTAACCGCAACTCAGATCAAACGCAAACATCATACGCAACTTGCATAAAGAGAGCTACAATTGAAAATGCATAAAGATGCGTTTACGCAATGGGCTTGCAATCTTGGGATTGGTTTTCAGAGTTACGTTTAAATGCAAATCTTTAAGCAAGAGGGCCCTGCTCCTGTAATCATTGGGCGCGTTCATGCTTGATTTTGAAGGCAGAATGAGCGATTTGTAACGCTCATCGTAAACGCTCATCGTAATCGCAGTTCCACTGTGCACTGTTCATGCTCACTTCTCCAGGCAATTCTCCTTGGGTGGCCTTCAGCTGGATTCGCAAACCTGTGTGCGCATGCTACGTAGACCCACTAGAGGTCAGTGCGTTGACCCCATTTAAACGTGTTTACAAATTGTAAACGCATCTTTTTGTGAGTTTACGATCGGCGATCGTGATCGCCGTTTTTTCGGTGATTCTACAAAAGTGAGCATGAACGCAATTGTGTTTTAAACTAAACGCGTAACAGATGCCTGATTCTGGCCGTCAAAATCAAGTATGAACGCGCCCTTAGAAGCTCAGGTACATACCTCTTGCCCCATTGATATTCTGGAATATAACAGCAGGATTATCCAACTTGATATTCCACTTATGCTGCAGAAGACAAAATATTAACAAGAATAAATCTCAATTATTTAAACATATTTGTGGCTTACACCCAGTAAATAAGATTGATTGATCGATCTGTATTGAAAAATAAGTCAGAAAAAATCTTGGAACCAGCTGGGACTTGAACCTGCACCTACTGCTTGCCAGGCAGCGACCCTACTACCAGGCCATCATTGGTTAATGGCACAGTCACAATGAACTAGAAACAAATACCAAGCTCTCCTGATTCATTCTGACTTATTAATATTCATTAGTCTGCCATAGGATAATAACTTTTATAAATGTAATGCTTACTGGGAGAAATTTCAATTATTTAAACATATTAGTGGCTTTTTTTCCTGACTTGTTTTTCAATACAGATCGATCAATCGATCTTATTTACTGGGTGTAAGCCACTGTTTGCTCTCACCATTATGAACTGTAGATAAAATGAATTCCTTCAATAATGAGTTATCCAAAAATTTAAATTCTATAGATTTGTGACCAGTGGCATGAATGCCATCCTAAAAGTCCAACTTAGAGTCGATCTTAGTCTTTGTGGAACACCCCCCCCCCCCCAAGAACAAATAGGAAGCGGGAGAATTTTTCTACATGTACCTGTATTTTGAGAAGATATTCTCTCTCTATATCTTTACATCATAGCTGTTTTAAAAAAAAAAAAAATCAATATATCCTTTCTTACCCTTTCTGCAAGGTAGAGTTCTGTAAAGAAGAGCTGGTCATCAGCTATATCTTCTATTGGTTTGTACGAGAGGGCCTTGTAGATGTAGGGAGCGTAGCCCATGTAGAGTCCAGAGCAAAGATACGGGTAGCCATTTTCAACTTTAGGATACTTATCCTAAAGGGGGGGAAAAGAGAGAAGAGTGAAGAAAATGTAGTCGCGCCGCGGCACTAATGTCTTTTGGCAAGACATTGATCTACATTTGCCACACTCAACCCAGGTGATGTAAATGGGTGCCTGGCAAGAATTAATTCCTTGAAATACTAGAGCGCAGTAATGGCCACCTTGCTAAAGCCAGGGTAATAATCGGGGCAGGGCAAGCAAAGTCACAACGTGAGGGACATGTGCGCTATTTAAGAAGGCACACTTATTATTATTATGATATCAAAAGTGGTTATAAGAGCGAAAGCGAAATAGAGTTAAGAGGGAGAGAGAGAGGGAGGGAGGGAAGAGAGGAGGGAGGGAGAGAGAGAGAGAGAGAGAGAGGGGAAGAGAGAGAGAGAGAATGATTAAAGAAAGAAACGAGAGGGAGAAGAAAAAAGGGGAAAAGAAAATCATGCATGACCATTGTTTTCTGCGTTTACTTGTTTGATACCATTTTCTCTGACAAGACCTACAATCAACCACCAATAAGCCAAACAAGGTTCTGTTGATTAGCCCTCACTTGAGAGGTCTTTTTGTCAGTCTACCTGACCTTTCACTTTCAAGCAATTTACAATGATTTCCAAGTAAGTTCAAGAATAATTTCATCAATAAGGATACTGTTTACAGCATGACACTGGAAATGAAATTTCAGGATAACTTTTCTTCCATCAAGTGGCAACCTCTACGGAGATTATAACCATGAACCACTTGTTATTTCTTTTTTGAACATGACGCAAAGACTTTCAGGGAATTGGCCCCAAGAACGATTTCCATACCTCATTATAAGATATCAAAGTCAAATTGCCATCGTAATATTTGCAAATTTCGAAGGGTGATGCCCAAGGCTATTGCATTGATTTTTTTTTCTTCCTCAGAGACTTTGCGATGGTGTAATTTGCGGAGACTAAAATGGTTTTGTAGTATCATGCAAAATATATTTACAGCAAGACTTTTTTCAGGCCAGATGTACGTCTCAGCCGAGAAGAGTAGATTGATCTGGTATGCTTTGAACTTCCTCAGCATCTCATCAGCATCAGCCAGGAAAAGGACATCATAACTATAAAAAAAAAACAAGTACAGAGGGAAGCAAGATATTTATTTATTCAATGTTTACAAACATATAATTTGAGTTTTGGACTGTAGCAAATTTACAAGCATGAACATTGGATCTGATTATGGCCCTGCAGAAAGGTTAAGGTTTTTTTTTTATGGAGATCAAAAGTTTACCTCTCAAAGAATGATGAAGGGAATTTGAATCCCTAAAAGTACCGTAAATACAAGATTAATAATTCTAAACAAATCACAAATAACAAACCCAGAAAAAAGGCATTGAATTTGTCACAGAGACGAATTAGTTGATCTGCCGCTTTGATCGAGACATAACATATGTAGAACCTCAATGGGAGATTAGCCTTTAAAAAAAAAATCCCATTCTCCACTCATATAACACGCCTATGTACTAGCTCATTAGGGTATTCGTTACACTACACGGCCGATTATCTAATAACACGCAGTCAAAGAGAAATTCAGACTTTGAAAAAAAATTGCATCTTCCATTCATATTGATTCATTGAATTTTACATGAATGCGATGACTTGTCAGTTATGAAAGGCAGGCTTTGATATCTACTCAATCTATCAAACAGTACAAAATCTAGCTGAACAATATGATTTATGGGCATATGGTTGGTTCTATGGTTGTGGTTAACAGCTTAAGTGTATTAATTGGATTTACCACATTCAGATTCTGAATATTGGCAGCGAACTGAATCGTATTGAAAAGGATGCAATATTCCCCCTCTCTCTCTTTCTCTCTTGCATTGGACCCACTGGACTTTGAAAAAACGACAAAGCATTCTAACAGCAAATGTGATACATGAAATCGCATCTCCAATTCATATCCTATCAGAACATGAAAGAAAAATTGGGGGTCAACAGCCATTCTGAAGAGTTATAGCTGATTCAAAATAGGTACTTTTTTTACCACTTTTGGCAATTTTTGCATTTGCGGGTGGGCATCAGTTTTGAGGTTTAACAAACATCTACGAGCTAAATTTAGATCAATAATTGCTAAAAGTGATTTGAAATTGCTAAGAATAGTATCAGCAACACAATACAAGTGAAACAAATTGAATCAATACATTCAGTAAGAACGGATCACGCAAAAATGCCGCACATGCGTCTACGCGCGCATATTAATTTTTTTCTTCTTAAAGGTCTGAAACCTCATGGCAGCCCTAGCCATTGATATTTTCCCCCTCAAGCCACCAATGTTCCGTATATGCACCAAGGGTGATATGCACGGCCCAGAACACCAATGGCACAGCTTCTTGAAGATTCTTGAACTGCAGCCGATCGGTACATGGCAGTGAACTCACCAGGGGAAAAAAAGAAGAAATCAAAAATTGATTTTTTTTTTTTGAGGGGGGGGGGGGGGGATTGGGGCTGCTTTTCAAGCTTGCTTGCATGAAAATAACACTAATTAATTTGTTTTGCATTGAATTCTATGCAGATTTGGGGGGGGGGGGGGGCTCTTTTATGACTTTCGGGGGCTCTTTTTGGCATTGTGGGGGCAAATTCACCCCAAGTCCCCTTGTATTTTTCCCCTGACATAGCAGTGAACTCACCTGTCTGTGAACATGATGACAAGATCTTCATCGTCCTTGTACTGGGTCAGAGCCTCCCTCAAGAGGTTGATCTTGAATCCGCCACCAGGACCACGCTCGATATCACCTCCTTTCCATTCTTGGTCCATGCCTACCACCTACATGTAGCATGCATAGAGAGAGATTTGAGGAAGGGGGGGGGGGTTGAGATGGAGAGAAAGGGGGAGGGAAGGAGGGAGAGGGAAGGAGGGAGAGGGGAAGGAGGAAATAAAAAGAGGAAATAAAAAGAGGAGATAAAAAAAAGGAAATTAAAAAAAAAGGAAACGTGGAGGAAAGAGATAGGGAGAGGAAATAGATAGGGAGAGGAGAGAGAGAGGGAGAAGGAGAGGAGAGAGAGAGAGGGGAGACGGAGAGGGGGGAGAGGAGAGAGAGAGAGAGAGAGAGTGAGAGAGAGAGGAGAGACAGAGAGGAGAGAGAGGGAGAGAGAGAGAGAGAGAGAGAGATAGGGAGAAGGGAGGAGATTATGGAAAGAGACGGAGAGGGGATGAGAGGAGACAGAGAAATATAGGAGGAAAGGGGAATAAAAGGGGAAGTAAAGATAGGGAAAGGGAAAGGTAGGAAAGAGGGAAGGGAAGGATATAGGGAGAGTAAGAGAGGGTGAGAAATGGAGAGAGTAACAGAGGGAGGGATATAGAGAGAGAGAGAGATAGGAGAAGGAGATAAGGTGAGAGAGAGAGAGAGAGAGAGAGAGGGGGAGACAAAAGAAAGAAATATAAGCTGAATGTATGAAAAGTATTAAGGGAAAATTATCAACAGCCACAACAGTAAATCTATCATTACACCTTTATTCAGGATTTCTAATTCAGTTTGGATCCCTTCTTCAAACTACACAATTTTTTCATTCACAGGTACAAATCAATACTGGTATGTACTTTTAAGCTCCACAAGTTTACTTGAATGGATTCTTGATAATGTTCAATTACACTTAACAAAAAACAAAAACAAAATCAAAACTAACATTGAACATGAGACACTACACTTTCAAAAACAAAATAAAAACTAACATTGGACATGAGAGACTAGACCACCTACTTCCTGTCTGTGACTGTTCAACCTCCATACTTTTGTCTGCCTATTAAAAAGCCTACTGACAATAAAAGCCTTTACACCAGCTCGGTGACTTCCTGCCTTCGCAGGTGATTATCTTCTTTCCTCCTACTGAATGGAATACAAACAATGCCCCAGCCACACCGACAAAGTCCAACAACAGACCGACTAGGCGACACCACACCAACCAAAGACCTGTACATTACCCCACAAATGGCTAAGAATCAGACTGTTTTAGGTCGGTTTTGCTGTGTGACTGAGGCATACATAGCATTCTAACCATGGAAACTACCAAATATATTGAAAGTACACGTGTATCTATCAGTTTTAGAAAAAAGGCATTTTGGTCTATATTTTATGCAAGTTCTTTTTTGGCTTACTGAAGTAAAAATGATGTTTCAGCCAGGCAATTCTGATGTTTTCCTTTGTTTGTGTTCTTTTTTTCTTTCTTTTAAAAAGCAATTCTTTAAGCTATGGTCAGAATCCAAAAAAGTAGCCTGCTCGGCGGCCGGGCGGCGAACGCTTTCCGCCCATTTTTTTTGTTCAGGGGAGGGGCTCATGGCCCCCAAGCAATGCACATGGATGCAATATATATTTTGAAATGTTTTTTTAAAGGTCTATTTGGACTAATTCATCCTTACCTTGACATTGATTCCGAACGCCTCGGCGGAATCCATGTATCTTCTGAAAGCATCTGTTTCCTTGGTTGCTACAGTAACCACCAGAAGCTTTCCATATTTACCTGAAAGTGAAGAAAGTCACCACATAAAATTAATTTTCCTTTTCATTGATCCTTAGCAAAGTGTGAAATTAAAAGAGGAACTATTAGGTGGAGGGTTGCACAAATAAAAATACAATGCAACTGTAGATCCAAATAAATTCAATTACAATCCAATAAAATGGTTTCTACTTTCTTGTCCCTGTCAGCCTAGCTTTTAATATTCACCATACTCATTTGCTAGGTCTAATTTATTCTTCTTTTCTCTTTCTTCTTCTCCTCCTCCTCCCCCTCCTCCTCCTTCCTCTTCTTCTTCTTCTCCTCCTTCTCCCCTTCCTCTTCCTCCTCCTAGCTCCTTCTTCTTCCTCTTCTTCTCCTCCCCCTCTTCTTCCTCTTCTCCTCCCCCTCCTCCTTCTCCTTCTCCTTCTTCTTCTCCTTCTTCTTCTTCTTCTTCTTCTTCTTCTTCTCCTCCTTCCTCCTCCTCCTTCTCCTTCTTCTTCTTCTTCAGCATTTTTAGTCTCCAGCTCGTGCTACTATTCATTTATAAGTGCTATCATGCCTGCCTTGCCCTTGAAATTGAAAGTGTGTTGCATACTTATCCATTCATGGCCGTGGTCATTCATCCATTCATTCATTTCATTCATTTATTTTTATATTTTATTTTATTTTATTTTTATATTTTATTTTATTTTTATATTTTATTTTTTTCATTCATTTTATTTTTTTTCCATTCATTCATTCATTTGATTCACAATCACCTTTGGCTTTGCCACATATTTGGTGATTTATCAGTTTTATCACAAACCAAAAAAAAAATGATACCCTGGATTGATTTTGCAACAGCAGATCAATTGAATGAGAGACGAATTAAAACCACTTCCTGAAAGTAAGAGTTGACATACACCTGTTTATCTTCAATTCATCAGATCAGAGGGCTACGTGCATTACGAGACGAGGTCAATGGCCTATGCCCGGAGCCGCGGCGCACTCATCAACTAATTTACGCTGCGAATGTTAAAAACAAAAGCTGATTTGTACGGACGAAATGCATCATGTTTTCACACATTTGAAAGATTCGGTTAGTCATCGTAATAATATTACACGGATATAATTACCTTCTTTTTCTGAACCCGAGAGAGCAACATCGGAGAAAGACAGCAAAGTGATGAAAATGATGACGGAAGTTAATGCTACGTGGCAGATCCCCGCCATTTTGATGTCAGCGTGAGTTGGTTTCGAAAATTCGGGACTGTACTGATATTTGACCCACGTAGCTTTTCGGCTTACGATGCGTCGATGACAGCTACTAGGTTTGTTGTCATTTTACACCTGACCAAACTTGGATGTGGTCGAAAGATGGCGCTGGTTCACCAGTGACTAGTTTCAGATCCACGATGAAATTGAGAGTCGATTAGTATCAATCCATCTGCTTGCATCTTTTTCGTTTGTCTCCCTCTGTAAAATTCGCCTTTGAAAAATGTGCCTATATATTTCAAACGTTTTGCATCGGCAATTTTTGTGTAAGGCCTTTAGGTTTGCCATTCTTCACCTCTTTTCTCAGAACCCCCTCCTCCCCCTTTCGCTCACTTTCTCTCTCTCTCTCTCTCTCTCTCTCTCTCTCTCTCTCTCATTCTCTCATTCTCTTTCTCTCTGTCTCTCTTTTCATCTCCCCCTCTCTTTATCTCTTCCCCCTCCGTCTCTCTTTTCTTCCTTTCCCCTCGATGAATTAGGCTACTGTAGAAGAATATTTTCATACTGACCAAGCCGATAAAAATTAATACATGTTCACATAATACGAAGGCCTAATGATGATAATACCTGTTGAAGGGGGGGGGGGGGGTAGGCAAATGTTTCGTGATTATCATGTATGCATATAGACAAGGGGGTGGACATTCCTTCGTCTATGTCTTTGAACTTTAACTTAGAGATCAGGCATATCGTATTACACACAATTCAACATCGCTGGCATAATAGTGTTACCTAGGGAGTGTTTCACAAAGACTAAGATCAACTTTAAGTTGAACTTAACTATGGCAGGCTGTTTATGCCACTGGTTGCTCTCACCATTGGTCTCTCAATTATGATCTTCAGATAATATTTTTTCCTTCAATATTGAACTATCGAAAAATGTAAATTCTGTAGATTTGTGACCACGATTGGTACGTCTCTTGAGAAACCAATGCCAGTGAATGATGAAAGAAAATAGTGGCATGAACAGCCTGCCATAGTTAAGTCCAACTAAAGTCGATCTATAGTCATTGTGAAACACTCCCATGAAAAGGAAAATAGAATAAAATACTGAAATCCAGCACGATGCTTTTTGAGTGCATTTATTTCACCATTTCACAAATTACACACCTTTTTTTTTTAATTTCTTTTTTTTTACACGAACACCGTTTGTGTTAGGCCTATAACCTAATAGCTATACATTCAGATTCACACTCGTTTGGATGCATCAAAATATTTCACATTGAGTAACTATAACTGACTGAGTGCTCAATACCAGTATATACATTTGTTATATAGTTATTTACATTATTTATTACACGAACACCGTTACTTTTTTTGGCCTATAACCTAGCTATACAAACAGGTTAACACTCGTTTGGATGCATCACAATTTTCACAATAAGTAACCATAACTTAGAGAGTGTTCAATATCAGTATATACTTTTCTTATATAATTATTTACTTTATACACATATTGCAACAATTTCGTACTTATCTCATCATGAAAAACGAAAAACGAAAAACGAAAAACACCGACTCCAAAAACCGAAAAACTATCTGAAATGTATTACTTATCAACATTCGGTGATAAAAGCCTTTAAAAACAATCTACGTTATACAATCCATTCCTACAAATAATTATAGTCATCATTATATTCATGTATATTTTGATGTTTTGATATTTAATTCCATTCGAGTGCCAAATTACGTGTGATTCTATTCGAAGTTAGATGCGGACTTAATATGCCCCAAGGGATAAACACTGAACTTTTGAAATGGCATGCTTATTGTATAGAGATGTAGGAGTGAATTTAATTTCGTATCCAGGCATTCATACTCCACGGAATCGACAAGTTTAATACTGCAACTGCTTTCGAAAGATCAACCAAAGGCAAATTCAATCGCATTTTAACCACTTGACTGCTATTGGCTTAAAGGTAAAGACCAGTATTGGAAACGCCCCAATTTCAAAAAATGAAATGGAAGCTCTTATTACCAATCATGTGAAAGAATATGTTTTGAATATTACATGTTGATACAAATTTTGACGGGAAACCGCCTACTAATGATATATTTGGTTAATTAGTGTATCTCTCGCCTGTTGAGAGATGAAATGCACGTTTCGCGCACGTGTGTGTAGTCCCATATACATCTTTCTGTGCAGTGCTTCTAACTTTATGAAGACTTGGCCAAATTTCTTATCATTTTGATGATTCCAGAACCTTGCTGTACATCTATGCTAGATGATATCAACCTTTTCTGATCGATTTCACAACGTTTCTTTCACAATGCAATCGCATGACCATAACTGGTCTTTAGCTTTAAAACGCATTCATTCCCCCTGGGTAGCAGTCAAGTGGTTAATATTGCGTCAACTCAATGTGCGACGACATTATTACCGCGTAATCCGATTATCTGCAATATGGGGAATTACAATAAGGTACTGGTATTGAGTTGATTTGTCGAAAATAGCCTCGCGGTCGTGTTATATGTAAAAATATATATTTCTAATGCATAGATGCATACACAGTCAGTGGGCAATGGTGTAGTGTTGGACCAGCCATTGAGGGGGGGGGGGGGGGAGGGAGGGGCATAGTGTCAGGAGGGAGGGCCCAATAAAAAAAAAACTCCCGAGTTTACCATAAAATGGGAGGATACGAGGCACGGTGAAGGAGAAGAAGGAACGCATCATCTGTGTTTCACGGTGCCCCCTCCTCTATGCTCTCTCCATTTATTTAAAAAAAAAATCTTACTCCCCCCCCCCCCACTCTCTCTCTCCCTCTTTATATCTTTCAATTTCCCCCCTTAATATAGGTCTTAATATGTTTGTCATTAATATTGTGATTGGGGCAACTGCGCCCGCCTCCCCTATCGTGACTCTCGTAGCTACACATGACGTCATACATGACATCATGACACATGACATAAATACCCTTATAGTATTTTTTCACCTGGCAATTAGAACGTTGTCGAATTTAGAAGCAAGGAATGTATTTTCTTGCCGAAAGACATACTATAGTGCTTCGACTTGGTTTTTAACTTGACCCCTTGACCCAGAGTTTAGAGGTCAGTCTGCAATACTAAGATTGACATGCTTCAGACGTTATTTTTAGACAAAATAAGAGAGAACATTATGCTGAAACATGATAACTCCAGAAAGAAAGTTAGTAACAATCCTATGTCGGATGATACTTTTGCCAAGGCTTTATCTAAGTATTACACTAAATCGAACACAATGAAGGATGGAATAAGACCTTTTTTCAATTTTGATTTCGGGAATCCATCATTTCGGATTTTGCTCTAAAACCAAACGAATTTCGTTTTCAAATCTCGTTTGAAATTAGGCCGCGTTCTTTTATAAAATCTGTGAACAGAACTAAATATAATTCTAAAATGGTATATTATTTCCTTTTTATAAATATATAGCGGTAAATAGTTTAATATTCACAATCTGTACATTCAAATCAACACCTTTATGTGGTTGTAATAAAGCACCATACATAAATTATGCACACATAATGACTATATAATCTGACCACCCAACAATAACCATGTTATTATAAATGTAATGCTTCCTGGGAGACATTTCAATTATTTAAACATACTGGGTGTCAGCCACAAATATGTTTCAATAAATAATCATGTTAATTAAATCAATTCAGTGCCGGAGCAAAACTCTGGATACTTTGTTCACCTGCTCTGTGTAATTACGATTACCTTGAAAAAATACATTCTAACACGTCAGCCACGTATACATATACAATATTTACATTGACAGGATATACGCCCTGGGCCCCGTCTCATGAAGAGTTACCATCAATCCAAATCAATCATAGGTCCTCCAATCAATCGCAAGTTGCAATCTCCCATCTATTATGTTCATAGTTGCGATTGATATCAATCGCAAATAAGTTGCACTTGATTTCAACTCTTTATAAGACGGGGCCCAGGGCAAACATGCACGTGATAAAATGCTACACAATCGACGACTAGCACAAAACTATACGTCAGCTACGTATTTATATACACAATATTTACATTGACAGTATAGGCCTATATACGCCTGATAGTAGTTATATTACACAAATACAAATTGGAAAAATGCCCCAAAATGCAATTTCTTTGTATAATCTTTGTACAATAAAGTCTACTTCTGTTATATATATAAGAAAGCTAATAAAGTAGTTTTTTCTCGTTCAAAATTATGTTGAAAATTTAATGTACTGTCAACATTATCGTGGAATACAACATGGAAATCAGTGATACCACGTAATCAACCACTATCGGTATCATAATTATGGAATTAAGATTTATATTAAAAAAATAATGTTCAAAGTATTGTTACAAATTCTGCAATAATGAACATAAAGTGAATATCCATCAACAACGGTGTAGCTTGAGGTATATGCCTCATATAAATTACTGGTGCCCCAGAAAATGTGAAAAACGAAATTGAAAATGATTATCTCATTCTTAGTTATACAATACTACAACTTTCAATATTTTACTCGGTCGCTACAGTTTTTCTCATCATTCTAGAAATGAGCACGTGATTTACCGCGTTCCACATACACTACCAAAAAAACACAAAAAAAAACAAAAAAAAACAGTGCTCACCCTCCCTTCATAAAAGTGGTGACCCTCATTATCCCCGCTGAATTTTTTTTTCTCGCCATGTCGCTGCTAGTAGACTTATAGACGAGAACACACGTCCTATTAAAAAAAACAAAAAAACAAATGAATATACTCGCCTCACGTTCATACCAGAGACAATGGTCCTTGTTAAAATTGACCTTCCCTAATTATTCTGGTACCAATCCTTGATGTTAGTTGAGTTACTTTGGACAAGCAACACTATTTCTGTTCAATTTTATTCTACTGCTAGATAAGCATACATATTCATGCACATAATTATAACATAACATTCCGACAATCTATGATACAATACTATAGTAATTAACAACATCATTTTTGAAAATAAAATCATAAAACTAACAACATAATTTCATGGTTCATTTCAATGTTCACGTTTTCCTTAACCCGGGACCCACACTT